ATTAAGATCTTCAAAGGAGATAAAAAATAGTCAAAATACCTCACGAATACTAGCCAAACGCCTGGTTTCTTCTTCAATACGGCCTAGCTGGGCCTGGACCTTCTCTCTGACTTCAAGCTTCCTCTTCTCAATCTCCTCCTCCTTCGCCTTGAAAGTGGAAAGAGCGGACCTGGACATCTCCTCGTCTTCCTTCGTCATGGTGCCATTGAAGCTGAAGCTCCCGGAAACTTGGCCGGACTGCATAAGCGTCTGAAGCTGCGTCTGCGAGTCTCCTCCCTGCCTCTGATTCGGCTGCATCTTTCCGCGGTCGTCTTCTTCCTCGGCTGCTTCTTCTCTGCACTTGAAACACTGAAGGAAGAACGAAACCCTTGATTTCCCCTCAATTTTTTCTGGATTTTATTTTGCGGCTTCTTTGCTTGCTTTTCCAATTTCTGCCCTTTCTCTCTCTCTCTATCTCTATCGGTTTCTCTCTCTAGAGTTTATTATCTTTTGCTTTAGCTTTGGGTTTGGTGGAGTGGGCTCTGGGTTTTGTACCGTTAGAAGGTGCGACCAAGGCTGGACTCCGGCACTCACGCCCGTTGCATTTTCTAACATTCTTTATTGGTGCCCCATTTTCTTTTGAAAAAAAGATTGCTAGAACGCCCACATTAATTATCTGTTCACATTTTGAAATAATAATGACGTTAAATTAATAATTGGAAGTTACTGACCAGAAATGTCACTCTGTTTGTACGGAATATTTTGGTGGTTTTTTGTGTTTATGTATGTCGACAAAGTGATGGATTCCTTCTTTGCTATACAGTACTTAATAGAAACGTTACTAATGCATTCAAATAGAGGCAATTTCGTTTAAAATAGCATGTTTGATAACACTAAATGAGTTTAATAGGTCCATTTTGTTGAAATTGATGAAACTCCGTCTGACACAGCTAAATTAGTTGAATCTGCTAAATTATAAAAGACACGTGTTTTATTAATAAAAATAAAGAAAAAACTATATGAAAAAAAGTTAATTGGTTCACTAATGTCACTTCACTTAATTCCGTCAGAAAAATAACTACAGTTACTTTCATTATCACACAATTCAACAAATGAAATCAAAAATTACATGTTTAGTGAAAATTTAACTGATAAGGCTAATAAGCCGGAAATAGATGTGATCAAATGGATCCTAACGACTATTTGGTACAAAAAATGTCCTCAAACTAATTCACTTAATTCAAAAAATCCAACACAACGCTTTGTGGTGTATTGGTAATGAAAAAGTATATTTAGGCCAAGTATAAAATAAGATGCACCAATACCTCGCGAGAGTATGTTTAGGCTAAGAGATTAGCACGATTTGAGAGTAGCAGGATTAGGGAGTAGTACGCTCGCTCGTTTTGGCAATGATTTAGAAATCTGTCACATGAGAGATCAACCTTGTTATCGAAATCGTTACAGTCTACGCCGCGAGAGCAATACGAATTTAGTATTGATTAGTGTGGCTCAATTAAATAATTTTCATGTGATTAAGCCTGATCATTCCTGAAATCTGGTTGTCTTGGAATCAATCTTTGTTCCCTTACTGTCATTAGTTCAGAAGACCCATTTAATTTAGTTTGATTTTGTAGCATTTAATTCCAAAATGGATCTCGCTCATTCGCATTTATTTTGTTTTGTTTCAATTTCTGAAATTAATTAGTAGTTAGTACTTAATTCTTTTTTTCCGTCTCTGTGGAGACGATATTCATACATTACCCTATACTATTAACATCTACTTCAAGTGAAAGAAACACTCACATCAGTTTTGGCATCATTGACAGGGACGGTGTCGATTTTAAGTGTTACATTATTTTCAACGATATTTATATATTGATTTATTTATTTTTCTTTAGTTTTTTTCTCTTTTAGTTTTTCATAGGAGTTTTCTTTTCTAACCTTTCACGTAACGAAAAATTGAAAATAATTGTCAAGAGGCAAGATTCTAAACTCGCTTTTCCTACTAAATTGAGATACTTGTAATTGTCCCTAGTGAGGTAAAAGTCTAAAAGGGGTGAATAGACTTTTAAGTCTTTTCGTCTTTTCATCGTTTTTCTTCTAATAGAGTGAGTTTCAAGATATATTGGGAGACCTTTGAAACTGTCAATGAAAGTCTTGACTTTATATAATGTGACACTTATAACAACAAAGGTTATGAATATTGTAATATCGGGATAATCCCGGGATGAAAATTTGATGAATGAGATGAATATTAAAGGCTAGATGAGCAAATTGTCAATATTCTTTTGATAGGATTGAAAACTTTTAAGAGATGTGTTTAGGATAGGTGTTTAGGATGAGTATGGATATAATAGTGTTGGAACTAAAAATAAAAGGAACACAAGATATATCTTGGTTCAGAAGTGGTGTAATTCTCATACATCCAGTGTCACCCTCTTTCAGATGGATTTCACTAAGTTATTCAGTCCAATACACTTAGTATCCAATCTACTCTTGATCACGGGCATAGATTGTTAGGTTTTTCACAAGCTTGAATACCACTCCAAGCTACGCCTTCCTAACCTCTACAAGTTTTTTCACTGATAGCATTGACTTGTTAAGAGCTTTTGATGTCTTTCTTCACCACTGTGGATTTGATCACGGAGTGCTCTAGATTTACAAACAATTTGGTTTACAAGGTAAATCTAAAGCTCCAACTAATCTAAGCTCTAAAGATATTTCTATGAATGAGCCAGTTTAAGATTTTAGTGTAGTGGGGTGAGCTAAGAAAACGAGTGATGAATTATCACTTTCTCCTTTGCTAGAAATATCGTATATGCTCGTTTTTCCTTCGTAGATGCACACTCTTAACCTATGTAGCACCGATACTGGTACGCGGAAATGCGGAAACGCGGAAACGGGTACGGGGATACGTCAAAACAAAAAAAAAGTAGGATACGGATACGGGGCCATATTTATAAATATTAAAAGTTATGGGGGTGTATTTACAAATATTAAAAGTTATAGGGGTCTATTTATAAATATTAAAAAAAGATTTTTTTTGAATATATATATATATATATATATATATATATATCGACACACACACATGTAATATCCTATGATGTCTACCCATTCATTGCATTGAAGCATTTTCCTTTTTCAAGATACTTAGTAATAAATTCATAATATTTCTCATATATACTAGTGCATCTCGAAAGATAAATGTAGTCAATAAGTCATTAATTTAAAATGAGAAATAATTCAAACAACTACAATCTTGAAATTAAAAGTGCAAATACCCAATTCGGAGTATGAGTTAATGACTTAATTCGGATATAGCCATATAGGCCCATTATTTTATTACCAAGTAAAATGTAGTTTTAGATTTTCATTTTTTTTTTTTTTGAATTTTATTAAGTATATTTTGGGATTTTTTCAAAAAAAAAAATGATACGGGTATCCGTCAGGATACGAGTATCGGAAACTTTCAAAAAATTACAAAAAAAAATGGAAACTTTTAAAAATTGCAGATACGGCCCGGGAACGTACGGTACAGGTATCCTAGAGTGTCGGATACGGGAACGTATCGGATACGCCGATACGCTACCCTAGGGAAGTATCCGTGCTTCATAGCTCTTAACTCAACACACTTCCTTTGTTTTAGACTTGAGTTGTTGAATATCTCCTATTAACCATGAGGCCATGAAGATTCAATCTTGAGTGTTTGATTATTCCACTTGGTGACTGTCAAGCAGTATGGCTCTTTTTTGTCTTTATGTGGCGTGGCATGCGTCCTTTTTGTCTCTGAATGCGCCCAAAATTAAGGATTTTGCATTTCAAGGAGTATGGCCGGAATCTTCGATGTATACGTCGTATAAACAATTTGATTGCTTCTACTGCATATGGGTCCCTTAACAACAGTGCAGGAAATAATTGATGTAAATATCTTGTTCCTAGAATCTAAAATTTATTACTAAGATAGTTTTGCATATTTCAGGATGTAAGAGTTTATTTACTTCTACCTTTTTATAGTTTTCCCGTTTTCAGGATTCTCATACCATATTTATAAAGTTTGTGTGGCTCTAACTCATTCTTACTTTATTCTTACTTTATCAATTAATATCAACCACATAAACGCACTCATTATTAGTGGGACGGAGGTAGTACTATTTATCCTCATTGAACTCCTCATCAATATTACTCTCTCATACCACAAAACATTCAATCTTCTTACTCTTACCCTCCAACTATGTAACACTTTCAGTCTCAATCTTTTCATCATTATCCTTCATCACAATACCCTAGGGTAAGATCGGCCTCTATTCTTGAGTATCTTCTCCAACGTAAAACTCCTGAGAAGTTGTCTCCTTACATGCGTAAGTATAACTTTTGTTCCTTTTATGGAGGACATCACTATGTATCTTTCTGTCCCGTTGGGGAAACAGATGTTTCAAATGTGCATCCTTAGTGGGGAAATTACATATGCCTCTTCATCCTCCCTACAAATTAGGAACACAGATGTTTCAACCAAACCAACATCCTTACCAAGTCATGAGACACAAAATCAATGGGATGGAACATTCTTTGATTCTTTGCAAACGTTGGCGGATCATTACAATCCTTGATTTGTGATGGATACACAATTTCTCAAGGTTTTACTAAGCATGTGTCACAGTGGATGTTTGAGGACAATCAGGAGGCACACGAGAGTGAGCCAAGCTATGATGATTGGAATAAAATGGATGATGCATTTTTGGATGATTTTGAGGATCCACCTCTATATAATCTTCAAAAAAAAAAGTACATTCGAGTGTGTGCACAAAAATTCATGTAATACATGCAAAAGTTTCAAATGTTAAAAGCTTGTGCAGATGAAGACACAGATCATTGTGATGCTCATGCAGAAACTCTCCAACCCTTTCATTAACCATTTGTCTCCACGCTTTACAAGAGTATGGAGCAGATCAGTCATGACATTGGTGAGGCTACTAGAGTGAGTTTGGATATAAAAGATGACTTGAGAGAAGATAATCATCATGTCCAAAAGAGTGGTAATGAAAGGAATGATGATCATATAGCAGAAATCTCAATCACCATGCAAGATGAATCCTCATGTACACATTTAGTGATCCACTCTTGCGTTATTCCATATTTAGATTTATTTGATTCACTCCCCCAAGATGATCACAAATTCCTTGAAAACATTAATAAGAGTTGGGACGCATTCATGGAAAGTGATACCGAGTCAAGAGCAGGTGATTTAAATTTCCATGATATATGTGAAGAAGAAAAGACACATCTATTACACGGTGTCAGCATGGTGATTCTCCACATCATTCCCTGGAGACCTCTTTTGAGTTGTCGGTGATTTTTAGTTCAATCAAGGTATTGATTTGTGAATTATGTCCACATAAAGAGGATGAGGGGTTCATTCTACCCATCGTTACTGATGAGGTTCCAGAAGACCACGTGATACATATGTGGTTTCAAGAATTTAAAAACCTTCTACACCGATTGACATTTGTTGAGAGTAACTTGGAGGCTTTGAAAATTAATGTACCATTATAGTCCTTGATGTTTGAGAGCATATAAGGTAGCGTCGGGCACACAACGTTAAAAATAGCGCTTCTTGGAAGGCACACCAAGCTTCTTTTCGCATTATTTACTTTACTCTTACTTAAAAAAAAAAGAGAAAAAAAAAACTTTTTATGTTTCATGCTTCTCGGGATATCTTTATCTGTGGTGATATTTATTGTAGCTGACAAACTTTGATCGAAATGATTTTCCTTTGCAGTGCTTCAGCCACTGCATTTATCTGAGCAAAAGCACTAGATAAGTCTCTACACCAGTGATTTTTGTTTCCATTTTTATTAATTGAATTAGTTTTGCACGCGAGATCCATTCATCTTTCGCCCAAGTTTAATTTACTTTTGCATTAATTTAAGACATCGAGGCTGATGTCTAATCTCAAGTGTGGGAGTGCATTGAGATTTGGATAGTTATCATTGTGTGATTTCAATAGTGTGAGCATTCGCAAGAAATGCCGTGTTGGTTTGTATGTCTACTCTTCTTTAAACACCATTTTTGTGAGTTGGATAGGGTTATTTGCATGATTAATTAGTATGTCTCTGAAGTTTTAGGCTTAATTTGCATACATCATTACTCTTATTGTTGAGTGTGAAGAAGGCATTAGAAATCATTGTGTGATATCAATTTCTTTGTCGTGAATAAGTTCTTTTGTTCGATCACCCATGATTTGAGCTTCATTTCATGAGTGACCTTTGTTTTCACCCGTGAGTAATTCTGACAGTACTTTAGTGTCTAGGCTACCATTTTTGCTACTGCTCTTATACCCCCAATGGGATAAGAGCAGCCATCTTCTAGGAATTTGATGTCTCGAGAATTGCATTGTAGACAGTGTCTCGCTCATTTAATTTATTTTAATTTAAACTTTCCTTGGTGAGGCCGAGATTGGAATGAGGTAATGTCTAACAAAATTAAAACAAATTAAAACAAAAATAGTTATTCAGTTAGACCCTCTTACTAGTCAAATAGCGTACTTGTTTACACAATACGTTGAGACTTGGAGGTATTTCGAAAGAAACAACGTTCTCGAGCCAACATGACAAGGAAAATAAAATGAAAGCTCAATTGGATTCAAGGCTTTCGCGTACTTCAAGTATATGTCAAAGCACCAATGTGCAACAACGGTTTAGCTTAATTTGCACCATGTCTGCTTCCGGCATAGAGATAGATGATAGTTCCCGATGAGTGTCTTGTTGAATTCTCTTTTCCTAGAAATAGTATTGAACCGCTATCAAGTTTTCTGATCTCTCAAAGAAATAAATGCTTGTTCAGCATTCTCCATAACCTTCACAAGTGCTTCTGATCGGGAATAAGATTAATTGTGTGTGCTACATTGACTTCAAAAATGTTGTAATTATCCTTATCATTCTCCTTAGTCAAGGAATAAAGAAGTTGTTTAGCCATGTGCATGCTAGCGTTAGTTGACGTCATGAGGTGATTTGGTTTGGCCCAAGATTTAGTGTGCTTAAGGATACACAAAGTCCTAAGTGTGGGGCAGTTTGCCAATTCCGTATTTCAACATACATTATATTTGTGTTGTGATTGGTTTTGTACAATTTTCCAAGTTAAAATGAGTCACCAAATGCTAATTTAACACAAGTTAGGGTTTACCAGATTTTTGTTTCCATTTGGTATTTTTAGAGCTGAAATCACAAATTGAACCCGACACCGGGGTTGGAGAGATTAATTTGTGATGTAGAGGCACTTGCGAGGTAAATGGAGAAGCGAAGAGGATGAATTGAAGAAGAAATAGTTCAAGAATTGAGCACGGAATCAAATGCAGACTCAAAGAGCATAAAAATGGGGGAAATGCCACCAAAGGGGTGCGCACGGTGTGCGACTACATGAATCAAGCACGGGATGAAACGTTAACTCAAAGAGCAGAAAAACGGGGGAAACACCACCAAAGGGGTGCGCACGAGGTGCGCGCAAGTCGCACACCGTGCGCTATGATCTGCAACCAGGAATGTTGGATAGGAGGTGTGGGGCACACTGCTCACAAACAGGTATGCACGATGGCCGCACGCCGTGTGCGACTAAGTTCACTCACCTTTTCGCTTTTTCCTATTTAAATAGCTTGTATACTCCAACTGTCAGAGAGACTGAGTTTAGACACAAGACCTAGGATCAAATTTTCACGGTTTTAAAAAACACACCTAAGACCTAGGACCACTCTCTAAGAGATTAACACGGTTAGGGAGCCGTACACTCACTCATTTTAGAAAAGATTTTAAAGCTTGTCGAATAAGAGATCGGCCTTGTTCTCTAAATTGTTGTACTACGTTGTGACAATGCTCGATAGAAATTGGTTTTTATTACACAAACTAGCGATTTTACGCGCAATGCGCGAGATCCCATGCCCAATATAAAATGAATAAATTTATAGTATTATTCTTTTCTCATGAATATTACTACGTTTAATTCAAAAGATAAAAAAATGACCTATTTTAAAAATTTCCAAAATGTGACATATTTAGTGACTTATTGCTCTAAAAATGTGACTCTTGTCCAACTACTCGTATATAGTGACTAATCATATTTTTATCTAAAAACATAACAAGTCACACTATTGTTCGGAGAAACTCTGTTAGTAATATATTTGTCATTTTCTCAGTATTATTTGATAATAATATATTCATGTCTATTTCATGTTACTGGTGACACATTTCATATTTATAATTTAAAGTGAATAACATCTAAAACTTTAATACCATCTAAAACCACTATATTCCTGAACAAAGGTTTGAGATAATTTAGTCTTGTAAAAAATATTAATTTGCTAGGTATTTGGAGTTGGATTCTTCTTGTTGTACCCACTATTGTACCCACTTTTGTACCCACCATGTCTTCATAGACATATTTTTGTCTATGACCGGGATTCACAGACAAAAAAAAACTCCTCACAAACATGGTGGGTACAAAAATGGGTACAATAGTGGGTACAAACAGATTTTCCCTTTGGAGTTTTGACTACAATTGATGCAAAATCTGAATGGAATGTTTAATTTATAATGCTTCACAATGGCCTAGGTACGTACGTATATAGTACTTGTACCTTAGTAATTGTGCTAGAACTCAATTTACGGAAGAGATGTAAGGTTTTGACGGAGTATGGGTACCTTAGTCACGTGTAAAGTTGAGTATAAATTTTTAATAGCAATGTACAATCTCTAATGCTCACAATGTATTGACATAAATGAGGGATACAAACCTTTGTTCACAAATATAGTGTTTTTAGATTAGATATTTGGTTTCACTAAAAATTATTTTCGAAGTATTATTGGTTTATGGATGTTATTTGTTACATCATATTATTTAAGAGAAATTATTACTAACTTTCCTTGAGAATTTGATGCGTTATCACACTATGCACTTCTAAAAATATCATCATTTTCCTCCTTATTCTTATAATGAGATTTAAGTAATTTCTAGTTTGTGTTTAGAAAGAATTATATATTTAAATTAAATCATTTAATAAGTAATAAATTTGTTCGCATTAAAGATGAGGTTTTTCCTTAAATAGTACTACGTACTAATAAAAATGTCATGGACAAAAATGTAACTTAATTACTATGATGTAAAGTTGAACACAATTATAATCACTATTGGTTACTATTTAATAGTTTTATCCATCACATTTTAAAGAGTAACATTTGTGGAATTTTTCATTAAAGATACCTACACCGGAAACAAACATTCCTTCAATTTAATCAAGTAAAATGTACATCAATAATTTCATACGCGACCGCCCCATGCTAATCGGCCTATATTCAAATCCAACCAACGTAACTCCTGTGAAAAAGCTAAGGTAAGTCTCATGAATCATGATTCCTTCCCCATATATTTTTTTGGAATGACTCAACCAACCACCCATACACTTGGAAAGTATGAAGATGAACCTCCGAACGAGGATCATCCCAAATTCCTAACAAAAATGTGGTAAAGTACTCCCTTAATTAAATTACCAAGGCTTTAATTACTTTTTCTTTTAAAATCTATGTTCTAATTCGTTTGTTTAATGATATAGTCTTAGATCTTATAAAAATGAATCAACTAATCAAGTCCTTAAAGAGGAAGTACACTAACCCGACAACAAAATTAGAGAGGTCAAATACTTTAATTACACTATAGTTGGCCCGCAGATTGTGAAATGTCCGTTTACAACATCATCACTTCTCCTAAGGTTGAGTGATATTGGAGCTTTGCCGCTTTACGATAAGAAAATCCTAACGAGAGAGATGGTAGTGAGGCAATCGATATAGTTCGAAGTTTTCGATGTCCCTCGGAGACTTACAAAAACAAGACCGCAACATTTAATTTTCACAAGAGCATCTCCAATGTAAGCGTGTAACATGAAAATGAAAGGGGAGAAATATAGATATAGAAAAGTGAAATGATAAAAAATCTCTCACATTCTTTGCAAGGCGGAATAAATTTCCAGTTACTTTTTATTCTCAATGTCTGTTAAGTATGTTTTCTTTTGAATCGTTTTCAGTCTCAAACCAGATTAGATCAAATCAGACCAAACCAAACTTCTATAGTTATAAATTACTCCCTCTATCCCTAAAAGAAGTTCAAACTTTCTCTTTTCTTTTGTCCCAAAAAGAACTCCACTTTTCCTTTTTGGCAAAGAAATATGTGGTTCACAACAATTCTTACACATTCTCAGACATTTCTCTCTCCTCCGCACAACTATTCACCACACATTTCTCACTTTCTTAATTTGTGTGCCATTTGTACTACGGAACAACATTTAGAGACGAATGAGTACATAGAGACCAGACACTTACCATATCAAACCAGATCAGAACAACAAATTCCAGTCCAACAGAAAACATCCTAAGATCTGAGGTTTCATCCTAAGAAGTCAAATATTTTAACACGCTCTCTCAGCCCAAATAGGGCTGGACAATATCGAGATGTATTAGTGGCCCAAACTGACCCTTAAAGCTACCCTGCTAAACAAACAGTGAAATCACAACTAGACTTCACTCTGATACCATGTTAAGATTTGAGTTTTCATCCTAAAAGATCAACTTGATATGAGTGGTAGTCAAAAGTCTTATATATTATTTTATTGTTTTATAATTTTTCAGTGTAAGACAAATACTTTTACAATGTCAAACACAATGTCTAGATTTTGACATTGTACATAAAAAATGATCAATACTTATTACAATAAGAGATTTCTATTAATTATAATTTATTTTCGTTGTCATTTTTGCGGAAATGCTATGAAGA